GCAGATGGTAATGTTCCTAATCTGTAAGTATCTGCTTCACATACTGATAATGATGTATGTAGTGTTTATCTTCACTGGAGAAATCATCCCTAATCAATTCCTGCTTCCCCAAGTAGCAAATAAATGCCTACTCTTATACACAAATAACAGCCTAGAAAAACACTATCAGAAAAGAGAAAACCAAATATTTTGCTATTCACTTTATATGCCATAACTTGTATGTTCTTCATTTGATATGATTACAAATTTTGAGTATCATGTGTATCAGATACTGCGTCAAATGTTTGCATATACTCTCTAGATATTTCTGCATATTGCAGAAATAAGGCAACTGAGACTAAAATAAATGAATAAATAAATAAATACTTTGTTGCCAAAGATCTTGACAGTGATTTCATTGGGCACTGGAATCCAAGTTCTCCAGTGTTAGACTAGGGATTCTTTATATATTGATTAATTGGTCTCTGAATTTTCCACCTTCTAGTTTTGAAGCAGGTGTTGCATTAGTGTCTTCTTCTGACAGTGGAGATAATAATTAATGCCTGAATACTGTACATACAAGATAATTCTAAATATCTTCATATTTACAAGAAGTGGATCCTCTAAAATATTTTTCTTGTAACTCTAGAGTAAGCATTCAGCTTCTTCTTGAAGTGGGTAGAGATTAAAGCATAAGCTCATTGTCTTAGTCAGGGTTTCTATTGCTGTAAAGCGACACCATGGCCATCATGGCTCTTATAAAGAAAGCATTTAATTGGTGTGGCCTACACTTTAAGAGGTTCAGTCCATTATCATCATGGCAGGACATGAGAGCACACAGGCAGACATGGTGCTGGAGAAGAATGTGAGATTTCTACATTTTGATCCTCTGGCAACAGAAGAAGTTGGTCCCACACTGAGCATAGCTTGAACCTGCCTCCACAGTGTCACTCTTCCTCGAACAAGACCACACCCACTCCAACAATACCATACTTACCAATAGTGCCTCTCCCTTTAGGGGCCATTTTCTTTCAAACCACCACACTCATAAATGGTCAAAGTATCAAGTATCTGTACCCACAAGTGTTCAACTGTGTATGGATATCTATTCTCACTTCTCCCTGTGAGGTGTAGGACTTTGTGGGTGGAGAGAATGTAAGAGTTTACAGCTGAGCTAAGAAATTCCAGCTTCATGTCACGGCATGGTTATTGCTCATATTAAGTCACAGTTAACTACACAAAATCAAACCAATCTAGATCCTAACACAAACTGGAGAGATTTCCCCAAAACTCTGCCTTTAACAAAGAAAGCATTAGAAGTTAATGGTTCCTGAGGAAAGGAGAGTCATTCTCCTTTGGAATCTTGGCAGTCGGTACATACCCATGTAACAGTGAATATTCACATACCCAGGAATGTATGGGCAGCACTAATAGACTCATGGGGCTATTAATAGCAGCAAACATGGAGGATATGAAGTTAGAATTGTGATGGGATTAAGGTACTAGACAGAGTTTAAGTAAGATAATGGTGGACATGGTATTTCAAAATAATTGTAAAAATGTATGAAACTTTTAAAGAAGTAAATAACAAGTATTTTTTAAAAAAACTAATTGACAGAGAGAAAACAAAATTTTATCTAATCATTTCTGCTGATGAACTATGAACTGATGTTATATTAACAATTAATGAATTATTGAAACAAGTAGGTGATTATTACCTACAAAGAAAATTATATTGTATTATAAAATTTAACATTTTCCAGGAAATAAATCCTCAGAGAGTGAATTTAACTGTTACAAATCATTACTTTACTCTTAAAATTTTTGTTATTGACTGAATCAAAATATTAATATCCACTTACTTTTAATATTTCTGATTCATAGAAATTAATCATATGTTTTCAAAGATCATTAATGGGTCTTTCAAACAATCAAATATGAAATATGAGCCAACACAGGAGACCTTGTACTAAATTAAAATGCATATGTATATATAAAAGTTTTTATAAGTTCAAATTTTCTTATTTTTACACTCAATGAATCATATAATAAAATTGTAAGGAAAAATCTTGTGTTTAAAAATCAGGGTATATTATACAATGTAAGGTAATAAGTCTTCCATAAACAATAAACATGTTTGCTCAATGGTAGCTCAAAGATTGTAATATTCTTTTGGCAGAATTGCCATACTGCTTAATAAAGTATTTCTTGCTGGAATTTCCTTTTGCAGAAAGCATTTATGAAAATTCCAGAAGTTTGGAGATTGTAGAAACAGTACAGTAGATAACAGCACTTGCTGAGGTTGTGGGGCACCTGGGTTCAGTTTTCAACACCAATGTGTACACAGAAGTCCTGTCTCTATGAATATTTCACACATGCATATACACACATACATTCAGGCTTATACACATAAACCTAAAATAAGTAAATAAATACTTAAAACAAATAAACATAGGACACATGATGGGGAAAGTCCTTCTGTGTATATGTTTCTTTTATCGGTCAATAAATAAAGCACTGTCAGCCAATAGGGAAGCAAGATGGGTGAGACAAACAGTTGAGGAGAATTCTGGGAAATGTAGTCAAGAGAGAGTTACCATGAAATCCTGGGAAGAGAAGACACATGAGACTGTGTCTTTGGTAAGATAAGATGATATACATATATATATATATATATGTAATTATGGGTAATTAAGTCAGAACTAGCCATTAAGAAACCATAGCAAATGGCCAACAGCTTCATAATTAATATAGTGTGTCGCATGTGTCACGTTATTTGGGGCAATAGACAGAGGCAGGACCCAGGCAGCTGGCAGGAAATAATACACTTTACACACTTGTGTCTATGTAATATCAAGGATTTGGTCCAAAATAACATATTTAAGAAAAGGGGTCTTTTTCCTAGGTATAGTGGTAAATGCATTTAATTTCAGCACTCATGTCAAATTCCCATGAGTCTGAAGCCTGGCCTACATAGTGAGTTCCAGGGCAGCAAAACATAAAATTACATAGAGAAAGAAAACAGAAAAATCATCTTTGAACCATTTGTGAAGATCCTCCAAATTTTCAAAGACCAAAATATATTACAGCAAGGGAGGAAAACAATTTTCCTACTAGAAGTCCATATGTTAAGCAAAGATCAAAATGATAAAGATTTGTCATCTTTATTTCATATGTATGCGTGTTTTGTCTACATGTATGTACACTACAGGACTGCCTGGTGAACATCAGAGAGGATTTTTTATCACATGGAACTAGAGTTAGGAAGAGTAGTGAGGCAACAGCTGGAACTGACCTGGGTCCTCTGCAAGAGAAACATTCATTCTTAACCACTGAGCCATCTCACCAGCCCAAAGATTACTTTTAATACTTTTTAAGAATTCCTTATTTTAATATTATAAACCAGAAAGCTATGAGCTTTTTCATATTAGATAACTTTTTACATTATGGAAACACCAGAAATCTTTGTGAGCATTTTAACTCTAAAACATGAATTCAGGAAACATGGAACTTAGTTAAGATTAGAGACCTACAAATTTTTTATAACTTTAAAATCTTAAATGTAGAATAAGGGATATAAATTATAAATGAGATGAAAGAACAACCGTTGAATTCCTGCTGTGTCTGACTTTTGTAGTTAACTGATCCCAACTTGTTGGCTTCAATACATTTAGCAATATTCACCACTAATTTCCTGTGGGTAATTTATACCACCCACCACATGCCCAAAGGACGCACATTCATACAAAAAAGACATATGTTCAACTATGTTCATCACAGCATTTTTTGTATTAGCCTGAACCTGGAAGCAACCTAGATGCCCCTCAAGTGAAGAATGGATGAAGAAAATGTGGTACATTTACACCATGGAGTATGGCTCAGCGGAAAAATAAAATGAACTCTTGAAATTCACAGGCAACTGGATGGAACTGATAAAAACTATCCTGAGTGAGGTAATGCAGTCACAGAAAGACAAGCACGAACCTTCATCCAGTAGCTGATGGAAGCATAACCAGGCTCCCACGGCTAAGCACTGAGTCATACTCAAGGAATCCAGTTGTAGAGAGGGAGGAGGTATGAGCAAAGGAGTGAAGACCATGCTGGAGAAACTTACAGAAACAGTTGACATGGCCTAGTGAGAGCACAGGGACCACAGTGATAAAGCTGTGGAACCAGCATTGGTTGGACTGAACCAAAACCTGTGAATGTGAGTGCCAGTTAGGAGACCTGGACAGTCTATGGGAACTCTAACAGTGGAACCTGTATTTATCCCTAGTGCACAAATGGACTTCAGGAGCCCATTCCCTATGGAGGGATACTATTTCAGCCCAGATACACAGAGGAGGGCCTAGGCCCTCCCCCAAATGATGTGACAGACTTTGATGGCCCCCCATGGAAGACCTCACCATCCTTTGGGAGTGGGTGGATGGTGGGTTGGTGGGATTGGTAGGGACCATGGGAGGATGGAAGGGAGAGGGAATGGGGGGATTGATATGTAAAATGATTGTTCCTAAATAAAAAGAAAAATATTTATATCACCCACAGCATTTTTGTGGTCTTTGGATGCTTTCTTTCATTATTTGTGAAAACACATGTTAAAGCAACTCTGTCTCCCCATACATACTACATTAAAACTTATACAAATTATATTACATTTATTATATATTAAGAAAATATTTTAATAAGGGTATACCTTAAGGATTCAATAGATCAGAATTTTTCTACCTGGATTATAGCTATATGAAAGTAAAATACCATTTGAAAAAAGAAAACAACAAATTATAAAACATGGCATACAAATGTACTTGTCATTCAAATATAATTGTTTAGAAAGAAAACAAAAACATTTACTTGATTTTTTTCAGTCAAAATGTAACTAGAACAATTTTTAATAGCCTGAAAAATTCATCTGTAATTCATTTCCAACTTGATTTTCCAAGTACAGATTGAAAGTCATATTGCCATTGTTGTTTCTGAATCTTGAGAGTATTATATATGAATTATTAATGAAATCCACTTACCTGCATGGAAGTCTATCCCCACAGCAAATGCAGTTCCTGATATAGGCATCAGAGCATCCATTTTGTCGCTTGGTTCAAGAGGTATTCCCCGAATTCCTTCATGAACAGAGTACATCAGAAAAGATTCTATTCCTAAACACAGGAAAGGAATTTCAAAATGAATATCTCATGTAACAATCCATTGATAACATTTCCAGAATATTAATTTGTAGTAGTGAAAGTATTTCTTAGCTTCATGAAGCTTCTGTAGTTTTGCCGTTCCCATGGCTGAATATATGTGAGCTGAGGCTCTGGAACTCTGGCGTGCACTGCAATCTCCCAGAGGGTTTTTATAGAGCAGAGGTCACATCCCAGCAAACAAGTGGGTGAAGCTGAAAGCTTCTCTGTCATCAGTGCCCTTGGTATGAGAAGATCAGACAGACAGACACACACACACAAACACACACACACATACATACACACACACACACACACATACACACACACAGCAAGCAGACACAGACTGCAAGTAGATGAAATAATGGAAGAGAAACATAAAAACATAATGGGAAAACTCAAATTCTGTCTTGCTCTTGGTATAAACTACTCTATGAGGAAGACTCTGCTGAGTGAGGAGGTACCAGTGTAACTCTTGCCCTAATTACAATATAACATTGTGACTTTTTTTTTTTTGGTTTTTACGAGACAGGGTTTCTCTGTATTTTTTTGAAGGCTATCGGTCCAGCCCAGCCTCGAACTCACAGAGATCCGCCTGCCTCTGCCTCCCGAGTGCTGGGATTAAAGGCAGACATTGTGATTTTCTAATCATTAACTAGCAGTGGCTGTCTAAAATCTGTGTGACATGCATTGATAGATACAGTAAACACAACATAGTCAAGTTCCTGTGAACATGTACCTTGGCACGACATGCGGTTCTTCCTGAGATAATATCCTACTGTACACATGCAAGTCCTGGTAGTTTCAGATGTTGGTAAACAAAGCTGAGAGCACCCGCCATTATTTAGGTGACAAGAATTGCTGCCTGTAGAGAAGGTAAACAAAACAAATGTCTAAAAGAAAATAATGAAGAACATAGGAGACTTAGTAGGCATCAACAATGTGAGCAAAAATATGTATGTTATTTATTTCTAGATATATCTGGCTTGTATAGGAAATGACATGTGTCTTTCAAATAACTTAAAGTGGAAGGATACAAATGAATCATGCCCTTCAAAACAATTAAACAGCATCATAAGGTCATATAGAAAAATAGAGGAAATTGGAGTTTTCATGAAAACTCTCATTAACTCTTTAATTTCTACCTGTTTTATTTTGTGTGTTCAAACAGATCTCACTAGATAATGTTCAGCTGATCCAGAATACATAACCTTCTTATCTCAGCTTCTCAAATTATGGCTTTCTCAGAATATGAAATCATTCCCTGCTGTCAGAGACCTCAAAAAATTTGAAAGATCACATAAAAAGGCAATATTTACTTTCTGTCAAGTGTAACTTCATCTCTAAAAGGACAGGATTTACATGTGCATGTGTGTTTCAAATTTACTTCTTAAAGCAAAGACATTATGGTTAGTATTCCAAAGAACATACTTCTTCTAAAATGTCTTTAAAACACACGCCCAAAAATCATGTAATTGATTGGCATGTTACTTCTCCTCATTACTAAATGTTGGCAATGCCAAATATTTGTCAGATAATTCCAGGTTGACATTCTATACAGATCTTCCAATGATTTCACAAGGCACAATTTGCTAGTTAAATCTGTAGCATAAAGTTAAGTAACTTACAGTCCACCCTGTAAATTCCTTAAAATATCCTATTTTTACAACAATTTTATTGTTGTAGGACAATGTGCAATGTCATTTAATGGGTTCAAGCTCTGCTACAAAGTTCAGAAAATCCAGTGACCATCATAAAGCCTGCTGTGAGCTGTGTATCAATAGGACTCTATGGGAGCTTCCAAATGCCAGCCCACTTCATTATTTCTCACCTTCTGAATTCAAGGATTCAATTGCTCAATAGAATCTGTCTCTGTCTCTGTCATTTATGAAGTGTGAAATATTCTTATCTTGATCTGTATTATCAGGAGATATAGCACACTATCAGCTCATTTCTTTATCTATAGCTAAGCAATATTGAACCCCTTAGAAGTAACTTGAAGTTTTAAAGCAATTTCATGTATCTCTTATATGAGCTAGTGAGGTGACTGACTCATCCCTTTTCTCAAGGTGACTTAAAGTGACAGTTCAGATCTCTGATATTTTCAACAAGACGACAACTACATTATCAACTTGTAGACATTATAAACTGACCATGCATGTACTTAATTTTACAGAAAGCATGTGAACACATGTTAACTTAATGCTAGTCTATAGACATGTGTTTATATGATGCTTGCTTCAGCTAACACCAAAGACTGAAGCCTGGGAAGAAATGTGCAAGTGGCATTTCAGCACATTATTTAAGGGAACACCACCTGGAGAGGAGAGCTGAGGGAGAAGAAAACGTTAAGAAAAGTAAGGCAAGAAATAGAATGAACATACCTAGGTAAGAGAATATGGAAGTAATATTAATATTAGCAGAAGTATGGGGAAAGTTGCAAACAGAATGGCAGTTACTAATGGATACTGCAGCTACAATGCTGGTGATATACTTTATACTTATGTGTTTAAAGTCATATGTTTTAACACGCTTATAGAATAACAAAATATATTTTACAGAACTTCTGTAGAGATAAAATACAGAAAATAGTAGTAAAATTTGTATTACTTTAAGTCAATATTTTCATTTAATATATAAAGAGGCAAATAGGGGAAAATTGCAGTCATTATCAAGTTACAAGTAGTAGTTTGGATTAGGATTTGTAGTGAGATTGATGTTCATAGCTCACACCTCAATGACAAGTAGAGTTGGAAAGTCCGCTTGACTAAAAGAACCTCAATTCTCTAGTGATCTGTGTCAAAAATGATAAATAGGGCAGTTAATTGTACTTTGAAATCCAAGGAGGTAATAATGTTAACACCTTAAAGAGCCTTAAATTGCTCATATTTCATTCTAATGAAGCTTTCAAGCTACCAACAGTGATTCTGTTAATGGCATTGTCTTTCAAACAGATGCTGCCATCAGCGTTTCCAGTGATAACAGTGCAATTGTGTGCTATCACTGGGCCAGTCACTTCTATAGTGCATGTGTCACCCAGTGGCACCTATAGAGTCAAATATCCCAGGTAAGGGATGGGAAGCTAAGAAGAACAGAATCAGAAGTCATCTATAAGTACAACCTCCTGAAAATTTTATCAGACCCATTATCTACAAAAATGATGTGCTGTTTCACAGGAAGTATGTGTTGCATAGGTCTTGAAAGGCCAATGACTTCATGTTTAACTAGACACCTTGGTTGGAACTACTTCTTGAGTACTCCCTTTGTTTCTGTGCGTGCTGTACTTTCCAAGACTGTGTTTAGACACATCTCAGAAATATGTTCATTGTATACTATGAGATGAAATTAATAGTGGTATTGTCAATTTTACACTTTTGTACTGAATAAATAAGTTTATATTGGACATATGTAATGTCTTACTATATTTTACTCATTACCAGTATTGCATTACACATAACATGGTATTATTATATAATATGAATACCAATAAATACTTATTTATCGATTTCCTTATGTTTTTCTGTGGTGGGGATCAAACACAAAATGTCATATATGCTATGCAAAAATTCTCCATTGAGTTAAGATCCATGTGTATGTTGTTTATTGAGATATAGAAAATGTTTTTTTAGCTACTAGTAAAAATTGCCCATGTATCAGAAAAGTGAATATACAAAAGCAAACAATCTAACCTGTAAACTGGCTAATAAAATTAAGATATTAATAAAAATATTAAGTATAATTGACCAACTTCACTTAACATGTTGAGTATAGTTAGCCATCAGAGAAAGATAATGGCAGTCATTAAGTAACCAAAATCATAAACTATTGGTAGAACATGAATTGATTGTGACATAATGATAATCAGTATAGCGGGTCAACAATAGAATCAAAAGACCTATCATGTGATCAAGCCATAAAATTACTGAGTATATTCCTTACATGACTCTCAGTAGGTATACTGCCGGGACACATGTACATAAATATTTATTGCAGCATTATTATAATAATCATCTTATGGAAACAATCATATGTGTCTATTAACAGATAAGAGTACAAAACACACAAACGCAAACACATTGAATTTTATTTAGCCATAAAGAATAGTGAAATATTTTTCATCTTGTTTGGCTTTTGCAGAAAAATGATATACCTAGAGATGAGGATAGCAAGGAAAGTCATCCAAAATCAGAAAGACAAGTCACACATGTTTTTCTTTACACTTTCATACAAAATGACAACATAAATGAGATTGGGAGAAGGAAGGGGACTACTGGGAAAGGGAGAAGGAAAAAATCATGATAGAGTATGGGAGTGACTGTGTTTAAAACACATGATATATATGAATAAAAATATTCAAAGAAAAATGACTAGATATTCTTGAAGGAATATGGATTTTTATAGGGAGTCATCTGTGTGTTGATTTGTTTGCAACCATAAAAGCACATTAATCACACAAAATTGAATTTTAAAAAGTCCTTTTTTCATTGCAAAACAAGATATACTTTCCTTTGACCCTAGCAAGGAATCTAGACCAAAATGTCCATCTTTGAAAGAATGGCAGTCACCACTCTAGTTTGTGTTGTCTACTGCTCTTCAGGTACCTTGTGATGGGTATGGTCAGCAAACCCTAACTTCTTGAATACTATACACTACTTCTGAAATAGTTGGCCCCTTGGTTCCCTCTCTTCCCCTTACTTGTCTCTGATTGGGTATACATATGCAAAATTATTTGAATTAAATCCTTTTTTAATGTACAAATACATTTTTGAAATTTACTGTGAAGAGAAATGTATGTGAAGGTAAGGATTTTCAAGGCAGAAACCAAAATAAGGGAAGAAACTACAGAGAACAATTTAAGGAAGCAGTGTGTATATGGGGAGAATGGTTTGAAGAAGAGGAGGAGGAGAAGGATTTAGGAAGTATTACGTGGAGAATGATTTTCATTTTCAAAGAGGATTATGCTAACTTCATGCATGCTGTACCACAGAGTAGGAAAGAACTAACACGTGCTCACTGTACTGTCTGGATCTCTAATCCAGTTGCCACCTGGGCAGTGGGACAAGCCCCCTATATAAGCCATCTGCTAGTTGTCATCCCATTTCACTGCCCACCACATGGACAAGTGAAACAAAAATGCCTATGTGCAGGGCCAAACAATACTGTGCTTTACGATATGAAATTCTTTAGTCAACGTGGCACATTTAAAGATCTCTGGACTAGTTATACAGTATATAAACTTTAATTCAATTGTTTTTAAATCTGCAGTTTTTAGTCAAGTACTAGATAAAAATGTCAGGTAAATGAAAAATTAAAAATCTTACAGAAGCCTTTCCAATAAGTCACTATGCCTCTTATGTGAAGACAGTTTACATTAGTATTAGGCATGGTTTCTTCCCCCAGCCCATAACTAACGGCTAGAATAGGAGCCGACAGATTGTTTTCTTGAGAAAGCAGTGTGAAAGCAAGAGCACCTTATGCGAACAGTGTCATGCATTCACCACAGAGGGACATACCTTGTTGTGCTTCTTTGTCATATACTTTCATGTGAACAACCCCGGAAGTCTTATTTCGCAGGACGGTGGGATTTCTTCCATCTCTTTTGTTGCAGGTTCCGAGTTGAGCTAAGTTTTGGTCTGCCCACCAGAGTTTCTTGTCTATGTGGAAGAAAGATATTTTATTTTCTTTGAGAGGAGAATATAATCAACTAATTAATATAAAAGTTACTGAAATATAACACTTCCTTATTTACCTTCCTGATTTACTTGTTATATCTCATATCATTTCTAATCTAATCCTGAAATCACTTCTACTCCTAAAAATGCAAAGCACAGTGAGGGTGTGTTGCTCAGAGTTTCTTCCTCCTTCCCCACTGTAGCTTGCCTATCTTTAACTTTTCTTTCTTTCTTTTTCTCCTTTTCTTTTTCTTGTGATTTATTCTTTTCCTTTTCCTTTAATTGAAAATAGATTTAAATTTTTATCACAGAATATATCCTGATTACATTATGGTTTCCCCATGCTTTATTCCTCTCAGTTCCTTTCTGCCTCTCCTCCCATCTACAAACCCTCTCTTTCTGTTTCTCATTATAAATAAACAGGCTTCTTAAAGGATACTAAGAAAATATAATATGAGTTAAAACAAAAATTAGCTTCTCAAAATTTTTCAAAAAGTTAGAAAGAGACCCACTCAGGTGCACACTCGGGACATAAGAACACGAAACTGGAAGCCAACATAAATGTGCAAAGGAGCTACAAGGTAAAATAAAGAGAAGAATATATGTATATGTATATGTGTGTGTATTTGATATACATAAAGTAAAAACTAATCATAGAATATTAAAAGGAAAAGCTAAAGCATGACAGGACATTGTGTGAGACAAGGAATCTCCAAAGATGCTGCTGAGTTCATTGCCTCTTGGACATCTACTGCTGATCATGGGGCCTGCCCTTGAGAGTAGTTTGCTTCCCCAGTAAGATTCGTTTGGAGAAAACTAACATTTTATTTGCGAGTGAGAAAATGGTTATAGATTGACTTTTATATTTTCTTAAACGATGAATATTCAGGCTAGTGATGCAGCCCACTTGTTAGAAAAGTTGTTTATCATGACCACAAAATTGAGACAGTGTGATCATGGAATTCTCAGCTACAAAGACAGTGTGGGATACATGACATCCTGCCTCAGAAGGCAAACTAAATGAATATTCTTATAAGCTACATAATATGGGAATATATACAGGTAAAAATAAAAGTGTGATACTAATCAATATGGTGTCATGGTTAAAATGAGAATGCCACCCCAATAGGCTCATAGATTTGAATACTGGTCATCAAGAAGTGGCACTGTTAAGAGGTATGACCTTGGTGGAGTAGGTGGAGACTTGTGTGTCACTAGTGATGGGATTTAGGGGTTTCAAATGCTCAAGCCAAGTCCGGTGCTCTGTCCTCCTGTTTCCTGCTGATCCAGATGTAGTACTCTCAGCCGTGTATGCCTGTGGTGTTTCCATGTTTCCCAAAAAGATGATAATGGACTAAACTTCTGAACCTGTAAATCTGCTCCAATTAAACTTTATAAGAATTGTCATGGTCGTGGTATCTCTTCACAGTAATAAAACATTAAGACAGAATTTAGTACCATAGACTGGGGTATTGTGACATGGCTGGCCATGCTTCTTGTAGGCTGGGTGTGGACTTTGGATTAAGAAAGCAGCTGAACACTCTAAGTGGGGCTTAATGGGCAATACTAGTAGAAAAAGGGAATACAGTAGTGCTGAGAGTAATATAGATCAAGGTGGCCTGACTCAAGAGGTTTCATAGGAGAAGACTGTTAGTAAGTGGCCTAAAGACTGGTTTTGCAATATTTTGATGAAGAGTGTGGCTATTTTTTGCCCTCATCCATATAGTCTGCCTGAGTCTATGTTGAAAAGTTTTGGATTACTCTTGCTGGCAGTGGAGATTTAAAAGTAGCCTAGTATTGAGCAGGTCTGATGGTTAATGATGTCAGGCTTATGCAGGTCTGTAATGAAAAGTAGGAAGCATGGCAAAAAGAAATGAAAAATAAATGGACAGTTTGAGGGAAAAAGGAGCACAAGGACATATAGTGGAGTGAAAGTCAGTGCTCAGGGAAATTACAAAGTTTAAAGGAAAGCCTGATCCTAATTGGAGTAAAGGGAGAGATAACTGCAAGGCACGACCCCACCCACCTAAACTTCCAGTTTGTGAAGACAGATTAAAGAAAATCTTAGGACCAGGTATGGTGGTAGCACTTTTAATCCTAGCACTGGGGAGGCAGAGGCAAGCAGACCTCTGAGTTTCAGGCCAGCCTGGCCTAAAAAGCAAGTCCCAAGGATATTCAAGCTGAGCCAGTAAAGGAAACCATGGACAGTAGAAAGCTGGTGAAAATGTATTCTAAGGAGGGGGCCATGTGCCAACCCCAGCAAGAAGGAGAACGTGATAGATTTAGCCGCTTGGTTCTGGATTTGGAGTAGAGGATTTAAGAAATGTAATGTGGAATCTCCCTCCTGGGATAAGGAAAGTTGCTGAGACCAGGAACGTGACAGGGATGCCCCTGTGTGGAGAGCCAGAGAAGCTATTATGTGAAACTATGAAAATGAAGTCTGTACTTTGTTGAAGAATCCAAAATTTTAAAGATTCCAGAGCTGTAGGAAACCTGCTGAGGAGAACTGTTAACAGGGTGTAGAACCAGACCAAGTAGAAGAATGTATGTAGTAGTCAACAAAGCTTTGAAGAATAGAGATCTGAACAGAAATTTGACATCAGACAGAGAGATGCAAAGTTTGGAGTTTGCCTAGCTGGTTTTTGATCTTGCTTCTGTCCAGTATTTCTTCACTCTGCTCTCTTTCTTTCCTTTTGGAATGGTAATGCCTACCGTGTGCCATTGTGTATTGAAAGTATGTGATATTGTTTTTATTTCAATTTACAGAGGATTACAGTTAAGAGATTGTTATAAGTCTCCAAAGAGTCTTTGAACTTTGGGATTTTAAACAGTGTTGAGACTGTTATAGACTATGCATGAGGACTTTTCAAGTTGGACTGAATGCATTTTTCATTATGATGTGGTGTCTTAGCAACTGAAACCCTAACACACATCTTCCTGTATGCCACCATGCTTCCCGCCCTGATAATCATGGCTTAAACCTCTGAAATTGTAATCCAGCCCCAATAAAATGTTTTCCTTTCTAAGAGTTGCTATGATCATGGTGTATTTTCATGGCACTAGAATATTGACTAAGACATATGGAATACAGATTTTCTTACTTGCATACCTAAACATGAACATGATTCAACATCTTAGTTATTGAACAACTAAGAGTTATTGTTCCAGTTTTATGTTTCCTAACATTGTGGAAGATTTTTAAATCCTGTGCTTTCTCACTGAATTCTGAACAAGTATGGAGGTCTCTTTTATTTTTTGAACAGTTCATGCCTCATTCTATAAATTTTTATTAATTTATATTTTTAGAGAGCTACACTTAACAATTTAAATTCTATAAGAAAGCAAAAATTAATGCAGAAAAAGCTCATGTCAAAAACATTAATTAGCAAAAGGAACATAATAGAGCCTCCCTGGTATTATTAATCTTTATCCCCTCCCATTTTAAGTAACACAGCTTTTAAATCACTGTACAAGAAATAAACAGATTCAATCTAAGTACTCTATCTTACGCTTTCATTAATATTTAGTCAATTTTTAGACAAAACATGAAGTCTACAAGTGTAATGCAGAAAATTATAAGCATATTTCACATATATATAACAGAATTTTCCAATGCAGAAGTATAGTTGATTAAAGTGTTTAGATACAATGATAAAAATGAAATTATAAAGAATATTTTACCATAAAAATTACATAACTAAAGATTTTTTGAAACTACCAGACAAATAAGTTCAATATAGTATATACAACTAGTCCTTGAATTTTATTGGCTCATGCCTATAATCCCAATACTTAATTGGCTAAGGCAGTGTCCCACTCCACCCCCACTATGTTACTTTTTTAAAAATTATTATTATTGAAGGAGATCAGGAAACATACAAGAAAATTTCTTTCTTTCTGGACTACTAGCAACAATCCAAACCAAATGTATACCCTGTGGCACACATGTATTGTGTGTGTGTGGAGGGGGGAGCGACATCTAAGAGAAGTCCAGGCTTGTGGCATTACTGAGGATGAGTAAATCAGTGATGGACAGACACAGGGATAAACACATGGGTATGTGTTTGAACCTAAGGAACCACAATGTTGGCAACTATAACCATATCATCCATACCCCCTGAAGGACTGGTGAAGATCTGAACAAAAGGTGTCCAAGCAGTAACCCAAATGAAACTAAGCAGAAGAATTATGGGGATGTCTTATAGTCCTTCAAAACTGTGTCCCCAGAAAGTGAGATAACTCAACAGGACAAGCTCACCAACCTGGATGCCATCCCCAGATCCCTGAGATGAAGAAAACCAACTCATTAAAATCATTCTCTGACCTCTGTGGTGGAATATTCCTTTACATTGTGTGAAGATGTGTTATTGTGATTGGTTTAATACAAAGCTAAATAGCCAATAGCTAGACAAAAGGTATAGCAGGGACTTCTGTACAGAGAGGGCTCTGGGAAGAACTGCAGGGTTGCCAGCCAGATTTTGAAGAAGCAGAACAGACAGTACAGAGTAAAGAACTGAGCCACATAAAAGGACATAGATAAATATAAATGGGTTAGTTTAAGTTATAAGAGCTAGTTAGGAACAGGACTGAGCTAAGGCCAAGTTTTCATAAATAATAATAAATCTCTGTGTCATGATTTAGGGGCTGGCAGTCCAAGAAAAAGCCTGCTGCAGATCTACACAAACATATACACACACACAGACACACACCTCACATTAAACAAAAAAATTAAAGACATCATAACCCTAATCATCGCCAAAGGATTCTACCTCTACTTCAAATTCAAAATTGTCTTTTCCTTTTAACCTGAGTTTACTCTTTCACCTGATTTTTATTTTTCTAATTCTCCAGTCTTATTACCTAATAATAACCATTCATTTGTTTATTTAAGCAATTCTGGGCATCAACCGTGAAGAAAAGGTAGATAAAGGTGAAGAAGCATGTAATGAAGAAAATGGGCAAAGTTCCAGCATTTGCTTCTG